GCACCCAAACAAGCAACATAGTCAAGTACTTCCTTTACTCAAGCATACTCACCTTGGATTCGGAATTGGGGGGGGGGGGCAAGTGATGAGAGTAAATCTAACCTTCGACCTGCCGAACATGTGGTACATTTGGGTGAACCAACAACCTTGTCTTTAGCTCGGAGAATGCCATCTTGCCATTGTCGTGAAGTATAAGAGTCACCTCGGTTACATATAAGACCACCTTGAGTCTCTCAACTCAATTCGTACGAATGGGTTTTACCAACCTCTAAGGAGGCCTCCCTACCAAGATGAGCTCCCATCCAGGAGAGATCCTACCTAGCAAGACGAGCTCCCTTCCATGCAAGGTCCACACTTCAACACTTGTTTGTCAAGTGACTACCTGGCGACACATGGATCAAGATCATCAACACGTAAGTAAACCTGCCAGGTAACCGATCTCGGGCTCACTTCATGCATTGAAGACATGGAGGACAGATCACCACTGCATGTCACATTTATGCATCGGATGGCTAATGCATATTGCAGGTGGCTAAACAAGTAGCACTGATTAGGCTCCAGGTGTCTAAGCTAGATCCCATGTGTTTGACTAGATACCAGCTGGCCTGAGCCAGGCCATGGGAGTTTGGACCAAGCACTATGTGGCCGAGCTCGAGTAATGGCTGCCCTAACAGAGTTCCAGGTGTCTTACCAGAGCTCCACCAAAACAAAGTAAGATCTAGGTGTCCTACATCTACCCGACATGTGCACACTTTGACAGGTATCCTGAATCCTATTTAAGGGGTAGGTTAGCATTCAATTCATACTTTATGACTCAATAAATTCTTAAGCACTCTTTGGATAATTCGGTTTACTGACTTGACCGTCGGAACTACAAGCCCAAGATATCACCCCAGGCCCTCTGACCTCATTTCCTCCTTACATGATACATTTGAGCTCTTCTAGAGACTTCACCACTTTCCGACAACATCAGGAACAAAGGTAATCTTGTACTTCTTTCCGCCATAGGAGATGGAAGTTGTTTTTGAAGCAACAATATACGTGCTTAGCTTTCCTCAATTATGAATAGATCCCTGTGCTTTTACTGTGAGAACTTGAGAAACCACTGTTGCAAGAACATGAAATTATCATTGTCTTAAGAAAGCAAATGCAAAAATAGTTTCAAAACACTGAAGAATTTAATACTTGCACAGAGCTCATGTCTTGGAATAGACATGGTAGCTAATCTGGATTAGGAAAATTCTATTTTTTGTCCCCTTCTTTTCTAGAAATTTCTGACATTTTTGAGACATGCCTGTTATCTTATTGTTGACAGCAACAAAGGAGGAGGTATCAGTTGAATAAGAGAACCCAACTCCTACAGGTGTCTCTAAGTATAGCATATTTGCTTTATTGCTTTTGCAAACAGAGAAATATACAAAAAAAAAAAAAACTGCTGGGTGATACAATTCATCTGTACCCAAAAAGCCCATCTGAGAGAATGAGATATGATGAAGATCAAAATTGACCACAAGGGCAAGAATGGAAAGTTGTTGGAGTAGGGTGTCACCTCAACTCAGCACCTCGACTACTAAGAAAGACCTGCAACCATAAGAGATATCAGAGGCAATAATCCCAGGGGCGTGAACTCCAACGGTTAAGTCAGTAATCGCAAAGGGAAAATAAAGTGAGCTGGAGAGCTTGGTGAGTTGAGATGAGAGCTTGTGTGTAGAGCTACTGAGCTCGTAGGGAGTGCTAGAGAGCTCATGAGGAGAACTGGGGAGATATATGTGATGAGTTGAAGAGCTCGTAGGGGGAGGTAGAGAGCTTGTAGGGAGAAATGAAGAGATCATAAGGAGAGCTAATGAGCTCCATGGGTCGAGGTGTCCGGCATACCTTGTTCATAGTAGCGTACTAACATGTCCAGTTGTGTCCAAATGATTGGGGGATTCACCTATTTATTGGAGAGGGGCTTCATCCAAGAACCGACACGTCTTTTACACGTGGTCGGAGCTCAATCCACTTGTCACGCCCTTAGTTGACATGTTATGTGCATGTGGTAGGCAGTGGGCTTGCATGGAGTGCATTGGCATTGATGTTCTAATCATCTTGGCCATGTGTTGCTTGTGCATGTTATGAGTTAGTGTCATATCAGCTTGTTAGGACCAGGTCAGCTCGTAGCTCGTCAGGACCAGATCAGTTCATAACTTGTTATGACCAAATCAGCTTGTCAATTGACAACTTTACCCCCAACATGCTGCCACTTGGCGGTTTGTAACTTATGGTCGGTTTTGGCCATATCAAGATGGAATCGCTGACATTTGTTTAACCAGTGAACAAGAAGCTTGGAAGATGGATCTATTTCTGTTTCAACAAAGTAGTAGAATGGAGCTCTTTGTTTCTTTTTGTCCACAGTAACAAAGTAGTAGACAGAGAGGCTGCATTCTCCAAGAAAAGGCACGGCTGAGATAGAGATGTAAAAGCGGCAATGGCATTACACCAGATGCTAATGCCATACATCGGTCGTTGTGGTCACTGATGGTTTAGTCACCGGATGCCAAATTCGGAGTACGAATTTCGGATGAAGGACTGTGGGAGGGCCAGAGGGGAGTTCAAATGATGGATCGAAGTATTTTTACTTTTTTTTTGTATTTTAGTGGCCGGTTCAACTGGTTGGACCGCGTTAATACAACATTTCCGTTAAATCCCTGTTAAGTCATTAAGATGACGTGTTCGATTCTGGTTTTTGCGTGAACCCACGGGTTCACAGGATGTAAACTCCTCTTTGGGGAAAACACATCTCCTCTGTTCATTATCATCATTTCTGAGGAAATAGAAAAAAAAAAAAGTTCCATGAACCGGTCACTTCAAAGTGAAACATCGTGCCCGATTTCAATGAGATTACATCGCTTGACTGTTATACCCGTCTCCCCGTGTTGTCTGCTTGGAGTTAATCTACGCAGATTTCATTTCCAAATGATAAATTGCTCCCGAGCATGATGGACGACTGATCTTGGATGCATTATGTCCACGTCCTCTTGGATATCTTGGATAAGTTATAATCATAACTTCATCCACCTATACAAAGGTGTCTCCTTCAATCAGAAGAGGTGTGCATGACTTTGCTCTCACACACTCTAGCTCTCTCGTATCCTTACAATCACATTATCAGGCCGCTGATTTAAGCATCAGAGTGCTCACCTTAGATAAAGCAACCTAGGTACTTTGATCACTTATTTTTTGTAGCTAGACTAAGCGATCTACTCAGTCCGGCGTTCGAATTGTCTACTAGTAGGGAGCATCAGATTGCACATCATCATTAATATATATTATTATCAAGCCACCAAGCCTGACAAAAAAAAATTAATAATTGGGTTGATACTTAGGCTCAGTTTGGAAGGAATACAAATACAAATATGTAGAGTGCAAAGCCTTGCATTTTGTATTATTTTGTATGCATTTATACTGTACTCCTAATTAAGCCTTATTTACAACTAGGGGTGTCAATTGGATTGGGTTTGGTCCAATCCGATCTAATCCAGTGTGAGTCCATTATAAATGAATCAAGTCCAATCCAACCAAGTAAATGTTTTGGACCAATTTGGATCGATCCAATTCAATGTCTGAACTATCCAATTTATTTAAATTCATTTTGATTTAGATTGGTTTCAACCCAAACCTGATCCGTTGATACATATGCTTTTATCTTATATCAATGGACCAGATATTAGCTTAATCTAATCCAATCCAATATAAATTGTTACGGATGAACCAGGCCCAATCCAATTTAATAAATATTTTGGACCGAATTGATCCAATCCAATATGTGTTATTGGTCAGTCCAATCCGTCCAAAATAATTTTGGACTGGACGGGGTCCAATCCAAAACGGTCCATTGACACCCTTATTTACAACCTGAGCCTGGGTTTCAAATTATTTATCCTTGAGCTGAGCCCGTTGACAAGCCCATCAGGTTTACCTCGACAATAATGAACAGGTTTACGTGTCACAGTTGGTTTAAAAAATTTCTCCGTATTGACTTGTTCAAAGATATATCAAACACTGTAACATATTATTGACATAAAATAGGCCTGAAACATGAGGCTGGATTAGGAATTATGTGACTCCTAATCCGAGTAAGGGGAAGGAAACAGGATCAATGGATCATTCATTTAGGGGGCCACCATATAATTATCCCACCGGTAGCCGGTAGCAATGTATTACCGCAAATTTAAGTAGGTTTGCTCCGCCCCCTTTATCTCTATCACTCCACGAAACCATAATTCGTCTTTGTGGTTGGAACGACAATATAAATGGCCGACCGAACCATTTGACCCGAGACCTAGTAGAGCATCACTGGGTTGGGTTAGAGATTGGAGTCCTCTGTCCTCCCACGTTTCAAACCAAACAGTGCTTTAGTTTCACACTAGTTGGTTTAAAATTTAGATAACCAGCTCTGACGTCGCTGTGAGTAGCAGACTCGTTCCCTTGTAATTAATTACTATAGCTATTACCATCATTGTTATGATTGATTCAAGTCTTAGATTAATGTAGAGATTAGATCTTGTCCTCCAGCTTGGCTAGTTAATGTAAATAACTAAATATGTAATGCATTGTGCCACCTATCTCATCACTCATGTTACTTCTGAGTTCTGAGTTCTGACGATGTATCAGGTGGCAGAGGATCACAAATTAGTTTTATTAATAATGATCATTATATTGTTGAATAAAGAAAATACAATACAAATTAATTGTGTCTTCTTCTTCTTCTTCTAATTGTTAATTAATACAAGAAAAAATATGATATAAAACGGTCACGTGAGCTTAAATATGCTATTTAATGTTTATTGCAATTTGCAATTACCCTAACTAATAAAACGATACCTCCTTTCTTCGATTATCTTTTTCTCGTACTTTAAATAAAAAAAAAGCCCATTATATATTCTAATCCAACGGGATTCCTTAACTTCGTGTCTTCGTGATATTGCTTTGTATAAATTATAAATAATGCTGAAACGTCGTCTCCGACTGTGCATAGTTGCAGAAACATCTCTTCAAATCTTTCACCCTTTCGCCTCTATATCTATATCAAAAAGATCTTATTATTCAAATGGGAGTGAATGAGAAATTTTACTCATGACTCTTCCTAAATCATAGACGGCGGCCATGTTCAAATCTACTCGTTTTCCCAAATCTAGAAAACAGGGCTTATGTGATTTGGAAAAACCATCCGAGAACGATTATGTCGTCGTCTTCGTCCTTCTTTTCGTTGTTGTTCATATTTCTCTGATTCTCCTTGTCCATGATGTCGGACGACCACTCTGTTTCTAGCTTATACTGCTGCGAAGGGGACGCTATTTTTTGGGATACCGACACCTGCAGTCCGGATCCCTCCATAACGACTAACACTTATCTGTCAACGACCGACGACGATGATGGCCAAGAGAGGAATCGCTTTTTTGCGACACTCATGGATTCCGAACTCCACCACTTGCCGGTGTCCGACTATCAGCGACGCTTTTTCGATCGTTCGATTGATGCCACCGCCAGACAGGACGCCATTAACTGGATGTTGAAGGCATAATATTTGTCCGTTTCCTGAATTATTTTTCATTAAATTTGAGTCTACCCTTCTGTTTCCTTATCGTTTTTTGCAATTTTGTTTTTCTTCCTTTCGTGTGACTCAGGTGCATACGTACTACCACTTCAGACCTGTAACGGCGTATCTCTCCGTCAATTATCTCGATCGTTTCTTATGCTCTCATAACCTCCCGGTACATAGTTGCCTTCCCCTGTTTTCTGTGGGCCTGTGGCCAGAAACGTTGCTTTTCATGTCAATGAAATCCGACGGCTGACGCCATTTTTTTTATTGTTTCGTCAAACGAACAGCATGAGAATGGGTGGCCTTTACAGCTGTTGTCGGTGGCGTGCGTCTCTATAGCAGCGAAAATGGAGGAAGCGAGCGTTCCCCTCCTCTTAGACTTACAGATGGTGGTATCTAGCAGATTCGTATTCGAACCCAGAACAGTTCAACGGATGGAGCTCCTAGTCATGACCAATCTCAAATGGCGAATGCGCTCCATTACACCATTCGATTTTGTTGACTATTTTGTTTCTAAGCTTCCATGCTTCAGTTCCCGACACCCGTTCCTCAGTTGTGTTTCATCGCGTGCTTCGGATCTTATTCTTAGCACAACTCGTGGTAAATTCCTGTAGCAAGTTCTCGAAACTTAAAATCTTTCCCACGTAGATTCTAATTTTTCAGATTAATAATGCTTAGTAAATAATAATTTTAGTCGGTCTGGTTTTGGTTGGCTGAATATGTGAATCAGTCGTAGATTTCCTGGGTTTTACTCCGTCGACGATAGCCGCGGCAGCAGTGCTTTGTGCTGCTCGGCGAGGAGTGGATAGCACAGGGTCCGGCAGCGATGATCGGGGCACGGCGACTTTTTTTGACAAAATGAACAGAGTAATATCTCGTGCTTGAACCTTGCTTTGTATTCAAGTATAAGACTATTATAGTAAGCAGAAAGAAAGAAAAAGTGAAATTTATCGTGTTTTTTTCCGGGGACAGGAAATGGTAAAAAGCTGTCACCAACTAATGGAGGAGTATCTGGTGGACACGTGTCCGATGGCTCGCCTGAAACACCGGAGAACGGAACCTGAGCCACCAAGCCCGGTGGGCGTACTCGATGCGGCTGCCTGTAGGAGCTGTGATACCCAAAAGTCTGGTGCCGAGAATCCCGATCCCAGCCCAGGCGAACTGCCTAACAAGCGCCAGAGATCATCGGGACCGTCGGATGTACATCAATTATAGTTAAAACTTAAAAGACTACTGCTCCCCCGATTCCTCAAATTGTTTCTTTTTCTTTTTGTGGAAATTGGAAAACAAATTAAATAGCTTTGCTTGACGATGACGAACGGTTTAAGATTGAAGTTGGAGGATCAAGGATGAGGAAGAACTGCTGTAGAGGGATTCTTTTTTGGTTTCTTGTTTATTATTGGAATATAAATTTATTTTATAAAAACTTTGTCCATATTTTTGTGGAGTGGGTCAGGGTCAGGGGTCTCTCCTCAGACCTCACTCCTCACACACTCTCACACTCGCACAGTCTGTCGCACTCTCATGTTTTACTTTCTGACTGACTATCTTTAAAGGCTAAAAGCCAATTAAGAATAATGTTTCAATTATTTTGGAGATGTATTTCTATTTCAATCATGGAGAAAGCATAAACTGTTTAAAAAACGCAGAGACCAAATGGCTATATTAATGAAATGTCCCCTTCCTCGATGAACAACTCTTGAGTCTTTGAACTTGGTTGGATCTAGATGGAAAGATGAGCGAAGAACCACGACAGAGCTGGAGGGTAGTTTTGTCACGTTGGCGTTGTTTTGTGTGTGCCGACTGCCGACTTGCCGAGGCCTCAGACAGTGAGAGAAAAGAGCAAAGATTTGAAAAATATTGTCTGACCGTTGAAGTGGGATGACATAAGCATGATGTGTGCTCGCCACGTATGAGAGAAGTAGGGATGGAGATACCGAGGATCTGGGGTGCGTGCGGGCCAGCCAGGATAAATATATCGTGTCCGTCCACGTAGGAAGAAGGACCTGACTAATGGAGATCTGATACGTGGGAAAATGACGATGCGTCACATCACCAGGAAGGAACTCTGTACGATTTCTTTTCCGGTTACGGGGATCGACATGACATGGATGTCGTAATTACGCATTCCCAAATCCCAATCCCCTCCCTCTAGTTCCCGCTTTGATAAATGAGAGAGCAACTGACGTGTAATGTGTTGATGCGATATCCAGTTGCGATCCTCACTGTCTCACTCCATCTCCATATCTGTATATTCCCTTTTTCTCTCTCTCTCTCTATATTATTTATAGAGACAAGGATGGTGATAACATTTCTTCTATATAAATCGGACGGATGTTCAATTGGAATCTGAATATAAATGAATTAGGATCAACCTCCTCACCATTGACCAGCAGAACGATAGGAGGCAAAAGGCCAAACCTTAGTTCTCTCATTTAAACCCCTCTCTGCATAGTGTATATTATATCCATTCCCCCTATTATAAAGTAGGAAGGAGGAAGCAGAAATGGCAGCTCTCTTATCCTATGCATCTTTCTCCTCAAAATGAAGAAAACAATATAAATTACAAAAAAAAAACAAAGAGATACACAAAAATTTACAAAATATAGAAAATTATAAAAATTTTTATACCATACTAAAAAATGCGAATGTTGCAATTGGTTTGGTCAGAACACCCTAATTTTATTTCCCAACTTTACCCTCAACTTTCTTTTTTTTCCCATTGTATATATTGTCATTGCAAAATAATTATGAAAAATATAAAATATAAAAACAATATAAATTGAAAAAATAGCAAAGAAATACATAGAAAATTTACAAAAAATATAGAAAATCATAGAAATTTCTATACCATGCTAAAAAAAGAGTGTTGCAATTAGTTTGGTCAAAACACCTTGGTTTTACTTTCAAACTTTATTTCTATACCTATACCATACTAAAAAAATGAGAATATTGCAATTGGTTTGGTCAAAACACCCTGATTTTACTTTTCAACATTACCAACAACTTTCTATTTTTTCCCATTGTATATATGTCATTGCAAAATCATTATGAAAAAACGCATAAAATGAAGAAAATAATATAAATTAAAAAGATAAAGAAATAGAGAGAAATTTTACAAAAAATATAGAAAATCATAAAAATTGAAGAAAACACATAAATTGCACAAAACAAAGAAAAACCATAAACTATAGAAAAATTAACAAAAATTGTAGAATAAAATAAAAATTTATATATACTACCATATATAAAAAATGAGAATGATTCAGTTAGTGTGGTCGAAAGACCCTGATTTTTCATACTCATTCTACCCCTTTCCGACATATCCCAATTCTATATGAGGGTGCATGATAGTTGTTGGCAAAAAAAAAAAATGCCACTGTCTTTTCTAAAATGAAATTGGGTTGGTTAAGGTTCTTAGGTTTGGGTTGAGCTTCAACTCAAACCCACCTAACCCATCAACTTGCTAATGACCCATTTTGGGTTCAACCTAAACTTACTATAGCCCAACCCAACCTACCCAACCCAATAATTTTTCACATAATACATATATTCTAGAAAAAATGACTATAAAAATACATATATATAAATAAAGATATAAAATGTAGAAAATAACATAAATTAAAGAAAGAAATATAAGTTACAAAATAATTGTGAAAAAACATAGAAAATGAAGAAAATAATATAAATTACAAAAAACAAAGAAATACACAGAAAATTTACAAAAAATGTAGAAAATCATAAAAATTGATGAAGAAAAAAAATTACAAAAAACCAAGAAACCATAATTACAGAAAAATGAAAATATAGAAATTTCATTCCATGGGCCCTGGGCATGTTTGTTAAATAGGTCCAGGTCTTATAAGGGCATTTGGCCACTAGGATTGTATATTATCATGTGTGTGATTGTTAAGTAGGGCCTGCCGAGGTTCTAAATATTGATATGCCCAATGCATCGATAGGGGCGCATCGGGTAGTATCAGTATTTTTTTTTCAAATTTGGTTAAGGGGGCTGGTTTAAGGTTTCCCCACCCCTGAACCGGTCAAAACCCTGATACACCCTCTGTAGGGCGTATCAGGGTGCTCCTGATATGATACGAATTAGCCAATATGGGCCGGTATGTAAGGATACTTTAAACCTTGGGGCCTACAACTTATGTCCTCAATCATATGCAACATTGTGATACATTATGAATTGTTCGATTGTTTTATTCTTGGAAAAATGTGGGGAGGTGATCAACATGCCTAGAAGGTGTTTGCATACATGTAACTTTAGAGGTTGGTTGATAAATTTTGCTTCTAACTAATTTCTTCATCTCCTCTTAGTTAAAACGTAAGAAGAAAATGTTTTTAGGATTAAATGTAAGTTATTTAATAGTCATTTTAGATAATGACTTCTGCTATTCAATGGTTACTTGTGTAAATTAACATAATAGCTTTTTTTACTTCTAACAATTAATAGTAATTATTTTCATAGGTTTTAGGTTATTACAAAACATGAGATCCGTTAAGAGTGGCATCTCCTATTCTCCATAAATTTGTGTTTCATTGGGATGAACTGTATTTGTATATATTGTTGTTGAATGTAATTTTATTATTGATTTGGTGCATTAATGTTTCAATTTGATGCATTTGCAACCAACATTATATGCATATAAAATTTAGATCTTGACGTTTTGTGAGGATAGTCTTTTTTATGTATTATATAATTGTCTTAGGACTTGAACGGTATGTGAACTTTCATCTATGCCCGAGATATAAAAGCATCGTCAAACATCACCATCAATATCAAATACCTCGTGCATTGCATGGGCCATTCACTAGTAGTATAGAAAAATAAAGTTCAAATTTTATAATGGTATGAGATGGAAATGGAATGTATTCATAGTGTTGAAGGGCATAGTAGCTGAGGTAGGGCTGTCAATGGGTCGGTTCCAATCGGACAAAACCAATGGATTCGAATAGATCAGGTCGGGTTTGTTTTTTTGAATGAGAATGGATGTGTTGGTTCTAATTCTTGATATATTGTCTTGATTATTATCAGTTTGAAACTTGTTCTACAGTCTTGAATCAATTTACATCCACCCATAATATTCAATAGGTTTATTATAATCATGTCAATTGGTTCATATCTGATTGCCTCGAGAACTGATAAGTTCGATTCTAGGTCTAAAATTATACCCTTTTGGGTTTAATTCATTTTTGGATTATTAGTATTTCTTATCAGATCGGTTTCAGTTCTACTTGGACCCAACCCATTGACTGCCATAAGCCGAGGTAGTAGTAACGGAATAGTAAAGAGAGCAATTTGATTAAGTGGCTGATATTTCATTCAGTTCTTTCTTGTTGTTTAAATATCACACAAGAGATAAAGATTACAAGATTGTTTCCTATGTAATCTAGGATAGGATGAGTGTTATCTATCTAGGATAATGCTTATCTTACTAAGATGAGAACTACCACACAAGGATAAGTAATACAACATGAGAATGCTTAGGACTCAAGAGTTTAATATGTGCATGGCTCATGCACGTTTCTTGTGCATTATCGCTTACACCCCCCTCAAGCGTCGCCGGAGGAGAGATGGTGAGTTGGGTACGAAGTAGTTCAAGCCAAGGTTGACCACGAGGCTTGGTGAGAATGCCTACTAGTTGGTCGGCTGAGGGAATGAACCGTACATCAATGAGCTTGGTTGTTACTTTCTCGTGAATAAAATGAATATCTAATTCGATGTGCTTAGAGCGAGAGTGTAGTGTATGATTAGTAACAAGAAATTTAGCTCCCATATTGTCACACCATAGCAGTGGAGGCGCAGAGAGGGAGATGCCAAACTCTTGGAGAAGCATATGGAGCCATGGAACTTTGGAAGCTGCAGAAGCCAAACTTCGATACTCAGATTCAACACTGGACTAAGCCATAGTCAGTTGCTTTTTGGAGCTCCAAGAAATTAGATTAGGTCCAAAGAACACACAATAGCCACTTTGAGAGCGACGATCCATGAGACAGCTCCCCTAGTTAGCATCAAAATATGCAATGAGAGAGGATGTGCAACTCGATCAAAGGAGCAGACAATAATTAATTATACCCTTTAGGTATCGAAGAATTCTCTTGGCAGTAGCCCAGTGAACAGTAGTTGGAGTTTGCATGAATTGACAAAATTTGTTAACGGCAAAGGAGATTTTGGGACAAGTAATAGTCATGTACTAAAGAGCACCCACAATACTGTGATAGAAGGTGGGGTCAGTGTGAGGTTCTCCTTTCGAATTCATGAGCTGAGTGGGAGCAGACATAGGAGTGGAGAGAGGTTTTGCAGCATGAAGTTGAGCATGATGAAGAAGATCACCAATGTACTTGTGTTGAGATAGATGAAAGCCGGTCGACGATCTGTGGAGCTCAATGCCAAAAAAATAATGTGTAGGACCCAGATCTCGAAGAGAAAATGGAGAGGCAAGATGTTGAACAAGGGAGCTGATGGCCATGGAAGAAGATCCGGTGATAATGATATCATCCATATAGACGAGGACCATAACAATGCTAGAGGTAGAGCCAGAGATAAATAAGGAGGCATTAGCTCTAGATTTGAGAAACCTAAGGAT